GGATCCTCCCACCTCCACCTCACAGAGTGCTAGGATGGCAGGTGTGAGCCACACCACTCCCAGCATCTTTCTTTATTTTAAAATTAATTAATACAAACTGTATATATTTATGGTATATAACATGTTTTGATATACACACACACACACACACGCATTGTGGTCTGGCTAAACAAGCCTTGCCTCATATACTTATTTCTTTGTGTGAGAACACTTAAAATCTCCTTTTTTAGCATACAATATATTGTATACACTATATTGTTATCAACCGTGTTACCATGATGTACAATAGATCTCTTGAGCTTATTTCTCTTAACTGAAATTTTGTGCAGATCATTCAAGTTTATCTTATCAATATCTAGGAGTCCCTTAGAGAGTCTGTATATTCTGGATCATGATTTTTAAACCGCTTGATGAGTTGCAAACATTTCCCCCAGGCTGTCACTGCTTTTTGGTTTATCTCATTGTTCAGATTCGGCAACAAGGAGTTTATCAGTGACTTGAGCCAAGGCAGTGGTGGTGGCTGGTGGGGGCCATAAGGTGGCTGTTAGACTTCTCTCTACAATACCGGTTTAAACTGAAGTAGTGTGATTAAGGGGAGGATGAGAGAATGTTCCAGAGAAAGGTCTAGGTGTGCTGGCAGAAAACAGGTGTGTTAAAAACTTTGGTAGTGAACAAACTGATCCATAATGGTGAAAATGATATCTCTCATTGCTCTTTTTTCATATTTTGATGATTTTTAGACCTCTCAGGTGTGACTTTCCAATCTGTTGCTTGCAAAGATTGCATTTTTTGTCCATTTGTCAGAACTTTCATTTGGGGATGAATACTATTTTTTGACAATGGGGTGATTTGACAACTTCTCCCTTTACAAACATTTTTAAAGCATGTTCATTAATTTTTATGTTTAAAAAGTTTTGGATTAAATAAGGTAGCAATATCCCTTCTTTATATATGGTAGTGTTTTGGGTTCCTTTAAAATTTCAAAATTATGTTGAGTTGCAAAAGTGAACTGCCCAATTAAAATTATTATTTCCACACATCGGTTTGTAAATTAATAAAATTCCTGCATCCTGGGTGATTTTTTTTTTACAAATTTGCCCATATTTTAAAGCAATCTGTAGCTTTGTTTTAAAAAATTCTTGAATTCCTTTTCATCCACAGATATCGCAGCTGACTGTTACTCACCAGCCCAAGCATTGCCCAAAAGCTGTCACAGGCAGGATCTCGTTGCCTTCTCCCCAAGATCTCCCTGGTGAGTTCTACTAAGTATGTCCTAGGGTTATAAATAAGGAAACTTGCGGTGGGAGCTTATTCAAAGCCACAGCCAGAGCCAGAGGTTGGGTTCCATCCCAAGTCTGGGCAGGAGCAGTGGCTTATGCTTGTAACCCTAGCACTCTGGGAGGCCGCAGCAGGAGGATCCCTAGAATTCAGGAGTTAGAAACCCGCCTGAGCAGCAGCGAAACTCCCTCTCCACTAAAAATAGAAAAATCAGGCCAGATGCAGTGGCTCATGCCTGTAATCCTAGGGCTCTGGGAGGCCAAGGCAGGTAGATTGCTTGAGCTCAGGAGTTAGAGACTAGCCTGAGCAAGAGTGAGACCCTCATCTCTAAAAATAGGCCTGGGTTGTGGCACCTATATTCCCAGCTACTGGGGAGGCTGAGGCAAGAAGATCACTTAAGTCCAAGAGTTTGAGGTTACTATGAGCTATGATGCCACCATACTTAACCAAGGGTGACAAAATGAGACTGTCTCAAAACAAAAGAAAAATTAAAAAATAGAAAAATCAGCCGTGTGTGGTGGGTGCCTGTAGTCTCTAGTCCTAGCTACTGGGGAGATTGAGGTAGGAGGCTTGCTTGAGCCCAGTAGGTTTGAGGTTGGTTGCAGTGAGCTACAATGACAGGGCTGTATGTTAGACTGGGTGACAGAATGAGACTCTGCCCATCATGTTCCCCAAACCCAAGTTTGTCAGTCTCCAAATCCTTTTCCCTTAAACCAGGATATGATCCCTCAGACTTTCATCCATTTTTAATCATTATTTTCGTATATTAGTGGCTTGGATAAAGCTATCATTAGAAAGACAAAAGTTCCAATAGGCATAAAGGCATATTAATTCTTTTTGTGTACTTCTGGAAAAAAGAAGATTAGAAATAAAGGGAAGTTTTAACATTGGAACACGAAATAAAGAGGGGAGAATGTGGTTCTAATCAGTTCTCGGTCGTTTCACCCACTAGC